TTTTTATTTTTTATTTTATTTATGTGATAGTATTCGATTAGCCAAATATATAGTTAATAATACATATTCTTCCAAGTATTGAACCGTTTGTCCTTTACATACCAAAACAGATCTGTAAATTACTATATTGCCACATTAATTTATTGAAGCGCGTTAGTTTCCATGTGAAGAATACACCGTCTCAAATTATATATTAAGGTCATCCTGTTTTCAACATTGGTTCCTGTACGAAATATGAACAACTTTGAACTACCATACTCGGATGGGGATCACCTATCCCAAAATGGTGTCCCCATCTATGTATCAGCCAATCATAAAAAGTCATCTCATTTAAAAAATCTATATTATTTGCATTCCTTTTTTTCTTACATTTTTTCCTCTTTTTAAAATTGGCTAGGACATGGATGGGGACAACATTTTGGGACAGGTGATCCCCATCCAGCATACTCCACCTAGAGATTCGTATACACTAAGTCCAAATTAAATTTAATATTATATATATATATACACACAAAGTCTCCAAATTAAATTTAATAAGTGTTGGTTTTAATCTATATTTTTCAGTCATGGCTAAACAATGTGTCAATACTATAGTTAATCAAATTAGTACTGCATATAACATATTTTTGTAGGGTCATCAATAAAAGCGTAATATTTATGCATTGTTACTATAAAGATTTATACGCAATCAGTATATCATTTATCATTCATTTAATTTGTATTACTTTCTTTTTTAATTGATGATATAATGATAATATATAAAATTCATAGACTATTAATTCATATATTTTTTCAGTATTAATAAAGTAGTTATTTCATCATAGTGTGTAAATTCCTTATCCTTCCTTTCATTACATCAACAAAACATATGGAAAATATAGTAAAATCATTCGCGCCCTTATAAGTTTTTGAGTTTATCAGCAAAAACAAAATTCTATTAGTTTTTTTGAAAAAATAACTCTTAAAATAATAATTATATAAGAGTTAAGCATTCTTCTTATAATGCATTTCACTTATAAAAATGGCTCTCAAAATAATATTAGACTTTCACTCTTATTATCAATATTCTACAGCATGATCATTTTGCTATTATTCTTTTAATAAATAGTTTAATCTCACTTTTTTTAATAAAAAGGGTCAAGGCCAGTCCATTTCTTCAAGTTTCGAAAAAAAAAAATCTTCTGGAACGTGTTAGTTAAAGACGTTTGAAAAAAACAAATTTTTTGAAAGGGAAATGGTCAAACTTTAATTATTTATATAAACACTACTTTTTAGATTTGTTATTATATCATTATTATATATTAGATTTATTATAAATATCTTAAAAGATCTCTTAAAATTTATTAGAATATTGGGAGAATATCATTATTATTTTTTAGATTGTATATGGTGATGTTAGTATGGGTTGACACTGATCATATGAACCCACATCTAGAATCTATACAAAAAATTGTGAAAATATGTGTTGCATGTTGCTACTTTCTCTTTGTTATTTTACAGACAATGAGCTATGTTATTTTTATTTTTTAATTCTGTAAAGGAAGTTCTTTTTGTCCAATTTATGTTATTAAGTTCAAAAAAATGAAGATTTATACTTTAATTGAAACTGTATCCTTAAAAAATGATTTCTATGCTACAAATCTAATGAAAAAATTATCCTACAAACTAGTTTGGAACATAAAATAATTATAAAAACAACAAAGATATACAGTCTTATACCAATAAAAACATGATATATAGGATTTAGGAATTTGTCAACCTAGATCCACCTTCTCAATGATCCAGTCTTGTTCCAAATAATAAATGTGAAGGAGTCCCTGACGCTAACGGTCTATTTTGCATTATATATAGTTAAAGACTTGGCACACAAATCACATATTACTAATATACATTGTTTGGTTTTGGCAGTTGGCACTGTTTCATTATCTTTAATAACATTCACATGTATATGGAACCAGAGCCCTATTTCCCTCCTCCTTCACCCTCCTTAACCAGGTTAGTAATTCATCATCTACCTATCACACACACACATATATACATGTATTATTGCTGTGTTATCTATATCTATATAAATATGAAATCTGTTTTACAAGTATGTATTATTTTGGGAGAGATGTTTTCAAGAATATATTTAATATGTAATAAGCTTCTTTTGTTTTGGTTAAAAAAATGAATGATGTGTATTGATGGATGTAGGTGGTGGTCGAAGGAAACGATGGCGGTGGTGACGGGAGGGAACAAGGGCATAGGATTTGCAGTGGTGAAGTGCCTTGCGGAGTTAGGAGTGAATGTGGTCTTAACTGCCAGAGATACTCAAAAAGGAGAGGCTGCGGTGGAAGCCCTAAGAGCACAAGGCCTTGCTGGTCATCTTCACTTTTTACTACTTGATGTTTCTGATCCAATTTCTATCACAACTTTTGCATCCTCCTTCAATGCCAAATTTGGACCCACTTTAGACATTCTTGTAAGTATTTTTCATTGATGTAGACAAATTTTGTTATCACAATTTGAATCAGTGTCGAAATTAATTATGATATGATGCAGGTGAATAATGCAGGGGTATCATTCAATGGATTAGAGGAGAACTCGGTGGAGCATGCAGAAACTGTGATCAAGACAAATTTCTATGGCCCCAAGATGTTGATTGAGGCACTTCTACCTCTCTTTCGTTGCTCTTCTTCCTCCATCACTCGTATTCTCAATGTTAGCTCAAGGCTTGGCTCTCTCAATGTTAGTCTTAATAATAATAATCACTTATATAATTCACTCATTCATTTGTTTATTTTACTCCTTCATCATTCATATCATATACTGTATATAAAAATATATGCAATGCGCCATGTTTTGTACCACATAAAATGACATTATTATATTATTGGAGGCTCGCGTGAGAGAGAGCAATTCTGTAATAACAATGATGTTTGTCGTACAAACCTCACATGGATACTGTAAAATAAAATTTAACTTGATAGTCACGTGATGACTTAACAAATTATGACATCTTGAGAATTGAAATATCAAGATTAATTGGACTTACTTCTCACTCATCCAAGTGCTTTCTGAATATTAAATTGCATGATACATTTATATATGATTATAATTATTGTAAATTAAATATATGCAGAAGATGAGAAACGCAGAGATGAGAGCAATGTTGGAACGTGAGGACTTATTGGAAGAGGAAATGGATGGAATGGTGAACATGTTCCTTAGGGACGTGAAAAATGGGACATGGAAAAGTAAAGGGTGGCCATCATATTGGACAGATTATGCAGTGTCAAAGTTGGCATTAAATGCATACTCAATGGTTTTAGCAAAGAGATATTCATACAATGGAAGTGGTTTGAGTGTTAATTGCTTATGCCCTGGCTTCACTCAAACCACCATGACCAACGGCAAGGGCACTCACACCGCTGACCACGCCGCCTCCTTTGTCGCCTCCTTGGCCTTGCTTCCGCCTCACCAGTTGCCCACCGGCAAGTTCTTTTCCATTGGGAAGAAGACCACACCCCTTCTTAACACTTCTTCTAAACTATGATGATATTTCGTATTCATCAAGCTTAATTATATATGTTAAGGTATTGCTACAACTAGGTGCACTCTTAATCATTTAGTTGTTTGTCAGTTGTCACAACTCAGCTAAGTTGACTATCTAATCATATTAGTAATTACCAAGTCAAACTCAACCTTGTGATGTTGATTTTAAGTATTAAATATGTTATACCCATTCAAAATACTAGTGAGGGTAATAGGTCTAGATGGGTCTCGGTAGTACATTATTCGGACTCGCCTCATTGCTTTATTTTTTGACTCATACCCGCTTTAGATCTGTGTTATCAGCGGATCCTTGAGTACCTAGTGGATCAATGAGTACTCATAAATTCAAAAATATTAAAAATATTTGCAAGTAATTAATTTATGCATTTGTGTATTTGTTTCATACGATCTTATATGTTATTTGGGCAATCAATAAGAGAAAAAATTATAAAACTTAATTTAAAGTTTTAAACACAACTCATTTTACTCAAACAAACATTAAAAACAATTTCACCATTGAGATGAAAAATTCTTTTAGTAAGAACTCTTCGATTAACATAACATTACATCATACATATGAATTAATAACATAACATCGTTGCTTAACAACATAATTATCACATTTATGAATTAATATGATATTATAATTATGGACTAATATGATATTACAATATGTATTATCATGATATTACAATTATGTTGCAATATATATAGATTTATGAAGAAATAGCAAGTCCGGGTACCCACGGGTCTAGGTACCTCATTATCCGAACCTATGCTCATCTAACAGTGTGTCTTAAAATTGCGGGTTTCAATTGCACATGGGTCCAAAACATAGGCCCAGAACCAACTCATTGCATGTATTATTAGCGAATACGCGCAGATCGGGTACCCATTGTCATCCATAGAAGCAAGTTGTCTATGTCATTTCTCTATGCCACCAATTACAAGCTTACAATTATGTTTTGTTAACTTTTGGTTAGTTATTATGGTGCAACTTTAATTGAAATGTCAATTTATAATTGGTGGCACATAAAAGTAACATAGAGAAGTAAGATAGAAAACTTGTGTTAAGAAAACACACTTAAAAATCAAGATTGTCTTAAAATAATGGACACTTCTGCACTAATAAAATAATTGTTTTATATTTAATATTAGGGAGGAGATCCATTTACTTCAAGGGTAAGTTTCACATCTTAACTATCAATTTTTGGAAAATACAATAGTTTGAATTAGTGAGTAAATCTAAACATTAGATTTTACTAGAATTGATGGCTAAAATGTGAAGTAAGTTTTTTACTCTTGGAGTAAGCATATCATTTCTCTTAATATTTTTATAATTTCAAAATATATTCTCTTCATACCTCAAAGTGGCATAATTCAATGTAAGTTATTATATATTTTTGAAATTACATAAATGAGATTCATATCTATACTCCCCATTTGCTAGGTTTGAAAAAAAAATCCACCGGCAGGCCCATAATGACATCAATGTGAGGAGAGGGGCTAGTGGAGCCGAATAAAAAAAACCCATAAGCCCGATTACATCAATCTAAGTTTCGGAGACTTGCAGCATCGCCGCTCGAAGTTAGGGTTTATTGGCGCCTATAAAATGCGTATCAATTCAACATCATTCTTATACAAATGCAACGCATCATTCTTCTTCTTCGAAATCAGGATAGTGTTCTTGTTCTTTAGCTAAGATTTCTTTTGAATATGTGTGCGTATTTATATTTGCATCTTTGTTATACTATTTGAATTGTTCTTTTGAATCTGTATTGAAACTAAAAAAGCCAATTTGCAGAGCAAGGGCGCCGATAAAAATGGCGTAACTTGCATTGAAGGTTGGCGAAAACAATTAGTATTGCGATTCTCCGTGCCTATCAAGTTGATTTATATCGTTTTGTTAAGGCCTCGAACAAGTCGCGACATTTCAGTCTTTTATTATTATTATCACATGTTCTTATAATTGTTATTCAATTTACATTTTCTATTTGAAAAACTATTTATTGTTTTCTCATTTTTATTATGGATTTTTTTTTTGTTTTTTTTGTTTTCGCTGTGAGAAAACAAAATCGTATTTAGATAATAAATTCAAAATTACCACAATTTTCTGAATTTGAATGTTTTTATCATGCAGTTGGTTCTGTAACTTTGATATCATAAGAAACTGATTCTTTTTGCAAGTCTATATGTCTTAGTAATTATTTGTTTTCAAATTTTACATACAAGATCTATGTTTTAGATCTTAAATTTCGCTGATGTTGTAAATTTGACGAAATTTTATTGGTAAATTACAAATATAAATAATTCTATAGAATCAAACAAGCCAATTTGCAGAGCAAGGGCGCTGATAAAAATGGCGTAACTTGCATTGAAGGTTGGCGAAAACAATTTGAATGCAATTCTCCGTGCCTGTCAAGTTGATTTATATCGTTTTGTTAAGGCCTCGAACAAGTTGCTACATTTCTTACTCTATCTTACACATCTCTTTCTTTTATTTGATTTCGGAATTTGTAATCGCAATAATGTTTTATTTCTTCACGCTTAAAAAGTTGAGTCCTTTTTATTATTTATATTTTGTTTTCTTATTTTTGTTGTGCGGGTTTCAATCTTTTTGAATTTATATAAACTAGCGTTTTGATAAAAGTTTTGTTCATTTTTTTGAATTTGTTTAACTTTGTCCTCGTATTGAGTCTTGGAAGTTTGAAATGGTGAGGATTCGAATATGGTTATGGTGAAGCAGGTACACCCAATTGCACTGAAGACTTAAACCGTCCTATATATGCACTTTGAATCGGGAATGCAACAAATTTTAGGTTGTGGTTAATGTGATTACTAATACTTTTGGATTACCACTGGCATATCCATCAAAAATTTATATTAAATAAACTTTGTTGAGTATGGATTAATAGAATCAATGGACTTTAGTTTTTCAGAAAAATAAACTTAAACAACAATTTTAAACCTAAAATTACGATGCATAATAGGCCATTGATTAAAATCCCATTGACTAATCATAAATAATGAAATAGTAGAGTTTCATAAAGAAAATAAGAAATTTTAAAAGGCTGTAGCATGTAAACGTAAAATCTAAAAAGTAATTTGTAATACAAGTTTGTACTATAATATATAAGTGAACTAATCATAATATATAAGTGAACTTTTACCAGCGAAGAGGACTAATTTTAGTTTCATTTAAGCCTATGCTAGAATGCTTGTAATTGGCTTAATGTGCAAAATAGAATGCCTTGTTTTAAAACGGGACATGTGGGTGGATCCCTTATCATGATAAATTATCTATTAACAAAAAATTAATATAATAAAATAAAGTAAATGTAGAGATTTTTTTTAATAAACATTCATATTCCATATGAAGTGGAATAAGTTAAATAATATTACAATTTATTTGAAGTAGTAAATCATTTTATATTATAATTTATTTGATTTAAAAACATAACCCTTTTTCTAGTTAAAAGAGTGATTTGTGAATATAAATTAAGAACAATGATTTCTGAATATTTATATATAAAAGAATGACTATAAGTTTACTAATGTACATGTATTTTGCTCTATTTTATTGTTAAATATTAGATTATTGAATGATATACTAGAAAAATGTATATTTCCTTGTTACCTTTTTCAAAAAGTAGACCTAGATGATATTTAGGGTCGGGTAGGGACCAAACAGGACCCGTCCTGACCCGTCCTATTTTTATTTTCTCATTATGTTTGTATGTATCTCTGTTCAAATATATACAGAGTAATGAAACTTTTTTGGTCGAAAATATCATTGATTCTCTAATTTTTCATCATATATACATGTTTAATAATATATATACACATATATTATTTTATATGTCAAATTACGTATTCACAATAATAAATAATATTTAGAATAGTTTATGTGAAATGAGTATACGTTATATTTAATCGGGTTTAAGGTCGGGTCCGAGTTTAAAGGTTGATCCTGTATATTTAGGGTCGAGTTAACTCTGGGTCTATGGTCAAGTCCGGGTTGAAAAAAATGGTCTGAATAACATTTAGGGTCGAGTAAGGACAAACCTTAACTCGTCTCAACCCGGCCAACACTCGCTCTGCCTTCAACGATTAATTTACCAATGTCGTAAATAGGAAAATTGGAATGGAAAGCTCCAATACTTTGTGCGTGCTAAGTTGCTACTGGGAATTTGTCGTGTGCTCATAGGACTTAATTCAATTAAGTTGGTATTACCCAGTCTTAATGCGTGATTGTTTCTTCCAATAACTGTTATTAGCAAAAATTGAACTCTAAACTTTTTATTATTTTTGGGATCTAACGTAACTTTATACCATTATTGATTTAATGATTAATTTAGTTTGATTACTACTAATAATGGTATGAAAGCCAAACTGAACTTATACAGTTTGATTGAATTCAGTTCCTTGATTTACTTACTTTGTGTGAAAATTTAGAGACCTATAAAATCATAATACTAGTTTGTGAAGCTCAATAATATATTTTGAGGAGATATTCATTAACTCTAAGAGTATAAACTTATTCCATATCTTATATATCAATTATAGGAAAATCCAATGGTTGAAATTAGTGGTTAGATCTAAACAGTTAGATTTCCCTAGAATTGATAACTAAAATGTAGAGTAAATTTAAAAAACTTATCCTTATTAGTGAATCCTTACCAATATATTTTTATAAAATAAGTATTTAACTCACTGAAAACATAACAAATCAAACTCCATACTAAAATGTGTTAACCAATATTGGTCGGTATAGTCGGTGGTAATCAATGTATCGATGAACCTTTGCTAAAGGACAAAAGCAATTCAGTGGTGTTGGACTAAAACTTAAAATTAGAAAATAGAGTATATTACAGATACATAATTTATTGCATTTCATGACATGTCAGAAGTGCTCCTGCACCTTCAACATCTTGTACCACTGAAACAACTCTTCCAGCATTTTGAACAAAACACCAAATAAGTAAATATTCTTTATCATCAAAGTTGGCACCAGAAAAAAAAAAGTTTACTTATACTTCTTGGACAAACACCACTAACACAAAGAAATAAAAGGTTAACAAAAAATAGCATTTCTAATACTACTACAGCTGCCCCTAACAACTAGTGAACCACGGTAAGAAACACCTGTTTTTGCATAAGTGACATATAACATTTGGGGAAAAAGAAACAACAAACTAAGATTTTTCAGCTATTCAACATTTCATCAAATAAGTTTTTGCAAGAGGAATCGTGATGCAGCTTCTTGTGTTTAGAGTTGTACTTCCCTATCATGAATCCAACTGAATTTATGTTTTGGTAACTCCTTCATTCTACCTTGAGCTCTCTCCTGCAGCCTTCTGATTCTTGGTGGGAGCCCACAGACATACTCCTGAGCCTTTCTTCCCTCACCTGAAAGTCCAGTTAGCTTATCTACCTTCCACCTCCCGACCAAAAACTCGAGAATATCAGCATAGTCCTTTGCAGTGTAGACCCCGAGGCGCTGGGCGACAGCAGAAAAGTTGTCGAACAGGTTGTCGTCTTGGCCATCATACATCAAGTGTGCTGGCATAGCAATTTTCTTCCTCATCATGTCAGCAAATGCCACTACTGTTCCATCAGGATCAACCTCAAACAACTTTTCCACTATCTTTGTGTAGGCAGTCTCATGGCGTTTCTCATCTGCTGCAATCAAACCACATATCTGAGCCAGCTTAATGTCACCATGCTCCTTAGCAAGCCTGGCTGTGTTACCATGAGATATAAAGGTCGCCCGCTCTTGAAAAGAAGTGTAAATGAACCCAAGGTAGGGGCTATTCTCAGTCCGAGGATCCTATCCATCAATCTCAATCAGTTAAAGTTGGAATAACAAATAATAACAAATATGACGACCAAAGCAGCTATCAAGTATCAAGCAGAATCATGACCATTATGCAACATGATAATGAATCATATAACTGATTTCAGGAAAATTAAATCTTGTTCTAGTCTCATTTTAAGCAGAACCTCAAATCTTTTCAGCTGTATGCCTTAGTTTAAAGACATCCATGCGTAAGTAAAATTGGTGACGGTGACATAATAATGCATCCACACAAATTAGCAGATAAATTTAACATTCTAGTCATATTTTCATCTCACCCCTCCCTCCAACAATGGTCACTGAATTATATTGATTGCCATACCTAAAGATGTGAGTTCCTCTGACATTGCATAATTGTGAAATTCATTATGAAGCAGACTTAATAGATGAAGAGTAACAAACAAGATAGCCGACAGATGTATGGGATCTTACCATTCCAGACCCAATCAAGTATTGAATAGTCTTCTCAATTTGCCTCATGTCGACACGTCCACTCAAGTAAAGATACTTGTTAAGAAGATCACCGTGTCTATTTTCTTCAGCAGTCCATGCCCTTGTCCAAACTGCCCAGGAAGTAAGACTGGCACCAGTTTCATCACGAACTCCATCCAAAGTATTAAGCATTGTCTGGTAAGTAGGAAGAGCTTCTTCTGTGATCATGTCTCCAACCAGAACAACGAAGTAATCATCGGGAAGCCCCTTTGCTCTCGCTCTCAGTTCCTTCACTTGTTCTTCAAATCCATCTGCAGAAGCATCTGGCAGGAAATCCTGTGGTTGCCAACATTTTTCCACAGGTTTGAGGTGCACCAAGATGTTCTGCTCAGCCCAATCCTCTAGAGACTTGAAAATCTCAATCTTTTGGGGTGGCATAGAGTGGGAGACTTGAACATGCACTTCTTTGGGAGGACTGAAAGGCTTCTTAAGATTTCCAACCTCTCTACAAAAGAAATTCAAATGGCCTTTATAACAATAATAGAGTAACTTTTGGAATGATCTGAAACCACTAAATTAATCCTTTCTCTAAATTGTAGTGTTCATGGCAACAAATATCACATAAACCTCAAATTCAACCACAATCATAAAAACAATTAAATAACGTGCGATGCACAGCAACCTAAATGTTAAGTAGGTTATTCGAATCACAACCCAACCAAACAACAAAACAACTTTAACTGTTTTTATGAAACAATTTAAATGTGTTTATTGAACATATCCGAGAACCGGTGCCACAACGCATGATTTTTGCGGATGATATTGTTCTAGTTAGAGATCAATGTAGTATTATGGTGTCTTCAACTCATGTGGCTTTGTTAGTGTATTATTAACGAAGTCAAAGTCAAGCGACCAATTGAACATGTGTCAATAATAATGAAGCAATCAACCAAAGTAAATAGATAGACTTGTTAAGAATATGAAAAGAGTATAAAATGATTGAAGCCATGAATATGAATAAGAAATATATGCATTAAACAAATGAGGAAAAACACATAATTAATATTATAAGTGTAGTTGCTTGTAAAATGAAATCACAAATTTGTTAGCCACATTGTTTTATTTATCAAACAAACCATTGAGATAGAACAGAACATGCGTGTGAGGGAAATGGAAGATGTTGGATTGGATGGATTCTGTTAACCACCCAAAAAAATGAAGAAAAATGAAGAGTCATCTTCACTGTTTCGTGAATTAATTTCATAGGTATTATCGAAAAATAAACAGAAAAGGTGAATATAATAAAATAAAAAAGAAAAAGGAAAAGGAAAAGGGAAAAGGTATAGACAGACATGGAAGCGGTGGGAAGAGTGGAAGCCATAATGAAATTGGGAGATCTGAGAGTTGGCCTGTGAGGAAGTGCAAAACTTGATGTTAGTGTTTGGAGAGGGTTCATTCTCAAACCCATTCTATTCAATCACGCTTCTTCTTCTTCTTCTTCTTCTTCTACTTCTTCTTCTTCGAATGAATGAATGAATGAATCTTAAAAGAGTTCCGAGTTGTGAAAACAACAACAACAACGACAGTACGAAGAGAAGGAGATAGTGGTTTAGTGGTTTACTTATGGTGTATGGCAAAGCAGGGCCAAGGGTAATAGGGACCCACCTAATAATTTACTATTTCATTCCCATCAAACTGTGGTTATAAGCCCACGGATACATTTTTACGATACAAAAAATAATAGATAATATATCTGTATGCAAATCATTATATGATGATTCCTATGTCTTGAATATCAAAGGGAAAAGAAAAATGGATTAATTTACTCCTGAGAGTAAGTTAATTCATATATAAGCCATTAATTATAGGGAAATCTAATAGTATAAATCTAGTTATCAATTCAAACTATTGGATTTACATATAATTAATGATTAAAATATGAAGTAAGTTTAAAAACTTGTAACTAAATCCTTACTCGAAGGAAGAGAAGTGATTTACTTACTTAAGTAAATTTAAAAAGCTTTATTAGATATTTAAAAAAAATATATAAATATTTTCTTCCTTTGGGTTTTGCATTGAATATAACAGCTGGTATTAAAAATGAAATGAGACATTTAAATATTTTAAACTTTATTATATATTTTTTCAAAAGCTCAAGTTTGCTAAATAAAAAATGGAGCTTCAGATTAATACACTTCACTTTGTTATTAATATATACAAGTATCATGTTATTCGTCAATTGTGTAATTGCATATTCATAAATTTAATTTTAGTTAAGTATCTCATATATTTTTTATTTTTATTAATTTGAAATTATATATAATTATCTTATTATTATTTCTTAATGAATTTAACAATGGATTTAATGAGAAATTTATCAT